GGGACGGAGTTGTTAGGAATGCATGCTGGAAGTTAAACGTCTTGGAAAATATAACAATATGAAGACTGAGAAAAAAGCGGCAAGATAACATTAAGATACAACTTACTGAGAATGGGAGGTGGATGTGACTGTGTTAGGATCGGATCAGATAGTTGACGTCTATAAGATTGGTGATGAATCTTCGGTTTCAGCTGTCAAAGTTAACTACTTCGACTCCAGAATGGATGGAATTTTACATTTCTGACTGATGTGTTTTTAAATGTTAAACATTTTATATTTACGTTTAAATAATCTCTTCTAAATATGCTGTATATTTCGGGTTCAACTAACTCCAGTTTACCATTTTTAATGCAGCTCATCCTAACGTCAGACTGTTCATTACACATGGCGGACTGCAGAGCACGCTGGAAGCCATCATCAGGGGCGTGCCTGTAGTTGGAATCCCGGTCTTCGCCGATCAGAGTCTGAATATAGAGAGGGCTGTGGAAGCAGGCTACGGACTTAGGATTGACTTCAATAATATTACAACAGAATCCTTAACTTGGGCTCTCCGAGAAATAATTGAAACTCCAAAGTAGGTTCTTTGCTGGATTATTAATGCTACGACAATTAGATATTTTATCTAGGTATGAATTATCAGCGTGTTTACCCAGCATCACATCCATTTTAATAGTTTTCGTTGGTTATACGTACTTACGATTTGAAACAACCAATGCATCGTAATGCAATTATCTTTGTTTTGGGTGACGGGCAGTATTTGTGAGTGCTTATGACATCAGTCTCTGAGGATTGAGGTTATTACTGCTTTAGAAACGCTGAAAGTAATAGGACTGGTCTCTCGAGAGGATAACATTGCATATTACCGATAACTTCTCGGGACAGGGCTTTATACATATTTCTTTGGAGCTGATCATCTATCACGAAAAATATTAACTACTATATTCGTGTCTTGTTACTAGTGCTTTTGTTAATATCGATACCATCGCCCTCATTATCGTCATAGGAATAATTTATATGACTACAGCCGAATGATGAATTTTTTTGGGAGACAATGAAACCCAGCTATTTGTGGTTTTTTTGACGAAAGGAAAAATCCTACATCCTCACACATTTAAATACCGGTCCATATACTGAGTGCTCTTGTCAAGCACACGACGAAATTAGTTCACGTGTAAAATCAGTAGAAAATACTGAATATTTGTTATTTCAATACTACCAATGTTTATTCTGTTAAGTATAAATCGAATTAGTGCGTTCTGATGTATGCCGGATTGCAAATAGATAAAATATGAACCCGCAGAATGTATTCAGATTGTAGATTCTCCGTGTTCTTAAAGGTACCGCGAGAACGCACAGCGTTTGTCTCAAATCTTCCGGGACCAACCACTCACACCGCTGGAGCAAGCCGTGTTCTGGACGGAGTACGTGATCAGGCACAAGGGAGCGCCTCACATGCGTTCAGCTGCACTCGACCTCGCCTGGTACCAGTACTTCCTGCTAGATGTCATCGCTGCTTTAGCATTTGCTGTCGGTTTCGTTGTAGTGATCGTACTGCAGATATCCAGGGTTTTGCTGAGAATTTTGTTCGGAAGAAAAGCAAACGAAGCAAACAGCATATCGAGAATAAAGAAACAAAACTAATTGGATGTCAGCAAAGTCCATTCGCCACTTTCGGAATATAAACTTGATAAGTTGTGGGTCACGTTTTGATGGCAGATTCAACACTTCTTGTTATTAGGACACTGGAGACGCTCTCATTCAAGTTTTTATATTGGAATGTGTGCTCTGGTTAAGTGTTTGTGGTTTTAAAGTAAATAATGGAAATATTGTGGTTATATAGTCAGTGTTGCAGTTAGCTACTATTGCTATTGCATCATTGTCGTCACTAGTTTGTGGTATTTCGTTAAGACAGAAATGATATTGAAACAATTACCAACATAAAATATATCTCAACGCCTGAGAAATGTAGGTAAAACGTTTGAATACTGTGATGTGATATAAAATATATACTGTAATGACTCGAAATCTGGAAGGCTGATGAAAGTAATCAATTGCCGTCTAATACAAATTCCAAGGTGGAAATTATTGCGGCCAGTACTTTATAGATTAGTTGAAATTAATGAAAGTCTCTAACATAAAACAACCCTTAGTATATGAGATCGTGAGGATCTCACGGCTGTTAAAATGTTGTTTGTGGCCTTCTGAGGTACAGTTGTAAAGCGCTGTGTAGCATTGTAAGAGGTTAGGTTAGGCGTTTTAGGGTTGAAGTCTCAAAATGAAGCTGATTAATTTTTCCAAAACGCTGGTAATCACGAAAAAATATACGACGTTGCAAGCCAGAGATAACTACGGACAACTTAGAGAACGTATTTCAGGTTATTTTAGTTTGAAGTTAAAAAGTGGCTTTAATGCGAAGTAGGATTTGAGGTTCTCACGGCGGAGAGTCTGAAGATGTCTGCCATTGTGATGAGCCCTTATGATGGACGCAGCAAGGACCTCTGAAACGTCCGTAAACTTCTACCAGACTACACGGCGCAACAACCCAGAAGACGGCAATCTTAAATTACGCGAAGTGTTTTTGTAAGTTCGATGCAATTTTGTGCCGACAGAGCACTGTTCTGTTTTTGAAAGAAATGAACGCTGCAGCGATGTACAGTTGCGAAATAAACCTGGTCCTAATGTGTTGTTCACGTGTGTTTCATCATACTGTGTTCACGTGATTCAGAGGAAACAAAAATGTGCCATATTAACTAGAGAGCCAGTGAAGCTCTAAAGGTAATATCTGTGGTTCTAATTGCCGTATTTTAAATATTGAAAGTATCTCTAGGTATTTCAGTAAGAACGGCTGTGGGACTCACCGAGACTTTGAGTGACAGGCAAGGACATTCGTAAATATTTTTCCGCGCGCGTTTTCAAAAAATGCGCTTGATTTGGTGTGAAGGCAGAGGATTGGCCGACGTTTATGATCATCTTGAAACACGACCAGATTCTAGATGTGGATCTTCTGTAACCACAGAGGATTCGAGAAGTCTGTTTAGATTTTATGATCCCTTTAGACCAATAACCTGCAAATTTTCTTCACTCGCAGCACAACCTAATTTGTCAAAGACACGTGACGGCACACCACATACGTTCGCCACACGAAAAGCGGGTGGCCTATATAAAAATGTAGGCCTATGAGTAAGCAGGCATATGAAAACAAAATACATGCTAATTATTACTATCCATAATGTACCAATTCCTCTTCAATACTTTTCTTGGATTTGTTGTACCTACGAAGCTGTTCAGCCTGGTTAAAACGTGTTTAAGTGAAATCTCTAGCAAACCTCGAGTATATAAACATTTATCCGATATATTTCCCTTTTATAATGGCCTGAAACTGGGAGATGCTTTATTACCACTGCTTTTGAAAAAATACATGCTAATTATTACTATCCATAATGTACCAATTCCTCTTCAATACTTTTCTTGGATTTGTTGTACCTACGAAGCTGTTCAGCCTGGTTAAAACGTGTTTAAGTGAAATCTCTAGCAAACCTCGAGTATATAAACATTTATCCGATATATTTCCCTTTTATAATGGCCTGAAACTGGGAGATGCTTTATTACCACTGCTTTTGAACTTTGCCTTACAATACGACATCAGGTAAGTCCGATAATATCAGGGCGGTTTGGAATTGAATGGGACACATCAGCTTTTGGTCTCTGCTGACTGATGATATTAATCTGTTGGGCGAAAAGCGACCACAGAAACACTCTTTAAGGGCCAGTAGGGATGTTGGTCTAGAAATAAATTCAGGAGAGAAACAGAATGTAAGGACAGCTAACGAATCGTTCGAAAATGTGACAAAATTCAAGTACTTGAGGACGACACTAAAAAGTCATAATGACATTTATGACAAAATTAAGAGCAGATTAAATCCACGGAATTTTAGCTTTCATTCAGTCTAAAATCTTTTGTCCTCCTGTCTCATAACAAACAAAAGATTAAAATATACAAAAATGTAATTTTGTCAGTTGTGCTATATGGGTTCGAAACTTGGTGTCTCAGTTTGAGAGAGGAACATAGATTGAGGATCTTTGAGAACAGTGTTTTGAGGAAGACATTTGGACCTGAAAGGGAGGACGACGGATAATGAAGAAAATTGCATAATGATGAGCTCCACGGCCTACACTTCTCACCTGTTTGGGTGATTAAATCGAGGATGATGAGGTGGGCGGGACATGTGGCACGCATGGGGGAGGGGAAACTGTTTACAAGGTATTGATTGGGATTCCTGAAGGAGGAGGCCACTGGGAAGACCTAGACGTAGGTGAGAGGATAACGTTAAGATGGACTTTAGGGAGATACGAATCGGTGGAGCGAACTGGATGCAGTTGGCTCAGGATAGAGTTCGAGGGCCGGCTGTCGTGAACACGGTGATGAACCTTCGAGTTGCATAAAGAAAGTGGGCTGTTCTTTGACTAGCCGAGCATACAATTGACTTTTCTAAAAATTTCCTGCACCATAGAGTGAGTGAGTGGAGTACTAACATGCATTACGAATTATAATTACGAAAGATAAACTTTTGATTTTTCTTAATTGTAACGTGTGAATGAATATACGATTTCTTAGAAACTCCGTGGCAAACTTGAAATCTTGTGGCGCCTCACAGGTTGCGGAACTGCTCCATACTTATGACTTAACAAGAAAATGCGACAAAATGAGAGAATACATCCTTGTACCGTACGAGATTCGAACCATTGGTCGCAGTGTTCAGCAGTCGTTGTCCTGTGATTTTAACTTCGCCATTGAAAAGCCACCAGGCGAGGTCCCATGACACATGTCTACATGCCGCTCTGATAACAGTAACATTTTTGGAGGATGCGTTACATAAAGTGAGCAGTGATCTCATGTGCAAAGATTCCAACAGCCAATGGAAACTGCTCGCTTCCTCCCGTCGACAGAGAGCGGTACAGAACGAGTGGCCCAAATGACAGTGATGTAGCGGTATTCTTCAAGGACGGACTTGTGATCGCGTGTCAGCTGTAACGTTGAAACGAGATTTGGATGTAAGTTGCCTGGTGATTATGTAACAGTAAGCGTAGAAAGTCAGCTGCAGATTTTGAATTTGAACGATTTTTAAAGCATTAGATTCATTTCGCTATGGACATATTGACCTATCATATACTTACACACGCACATTCATTCGACTTACCTTGGACAGTTGCTTAGCTGCTAAACAAAGGCGACGGTCAATAGAGTACGTTCTACGCATTTCAGTGCATCTCTAAAGATGAACATCGGAATGGAATAATGTGTAGTATTAACAATATGTTAATAGGGAAATAAATGTCTTTAGTTTTGGTGTATTTAGTGGGGCTGACAGTTTATACCGAATGGATTGGTGAGGATGTGGTAGGGTCTGGTCGTGACCACATGTAAGAAGCGTTTTCGGATTTTAACGCGAGGGATTGAGAAAAAGCACGTAAATCATGTGGACCAGCGGAACACTAAGCAAAAGTGCTAATCATCAACTATTTGTACATCACGTCGATCCATGTGAGGGTGATGAAATCAGGTCAGAGGAGCTATGTGGAGAAAATAAACAAGCCACGAGTCGTCAACCTGCCGCCCGCGGGTCGGATGCGGTTCACGGTATCTCTTCGTGTGGCTGTTTTAATATATTAGTACATAAAATTCAACTAGGACCGTTTGTAGGGTGTGTCAAATCGGGGCGAAAACCCAAGCCTCGAAATTCGACATCTCGGTGTTTGGTTAATTTTATGGTTTCGACAGTAGTCACTCTGAAAAGGTGGCGAAGACCTCAGTATATAATAAGTCAGTTACCTAGTGCTTTGGCTTAGGCAGTAATATTCGAAGTTACTGCCAGAACACGTTCGAGCTCGACGTCGTTACGAAATTTGAGTTGTAATGTATTTCTCAAGTGTTAGGAGTGACCAGGTACACACTTAGCCAGTCATTATTAAGCCAGGTGAAGCTGTGACGTAGAATGACTTGGCTGTCTCAAGTATCATGGAAGTAAACTGTTTGCTTCACTCATTACGAGATAAATGTTAATGTCCAACACCTTGTAATATTGACACAAAGACAATATGGACTGTTTGATGACAACGTCGAACATTACGATAAGGACGCATACTCAAGATCTGTTGCCTACGGGCCTTTCCCCCCCCCTCCACAATATCGTAGACTTTAATGTAGAATTACAGGAATAATTATAAAAAGCGATCAGGTAATACATGAAGAAAGATGCAGATTTACTTTTTTAAGGTAGTGTTTCATCTCGTAATTTGATTTTAATTCTGAGGAAATATACGCAGAACTTGTAGGGGTCGCTGATTTCAGAAGTAAGAATCAAACCCAGAATTTTTAACGTACGGAGTAGGAATCCAAACTGCAGATTTGCATTTTTCGATACGTAAGTTCGTCCAGTGTGCAGAAGTGTTGAAATACTCTCTTCTGGTTCGTGGAAGTGCTTGCTTGATTTATTATGACGCAACTGTACAGGGACGAGCCCTTGTCTACGGTCTGTCTGAGACTCGTAGAATTTCGCAATCAGGTTTTACACACGTCTTCTAATTGCTGGTTGCCAGTGGTCCGTCCGTCCGTCCGTTTCTTATTGGAACCTACTACATGGATCTTGTTTCAGTTCGGTGTGGGATTTTTATGAAATCTTGTATTAACCTTCGGTGTATAAAGTTGTTTTATTTTTCTAATCTTTGGATTTATACAAAGATAACAGAAGATGCACCTGCGGAAATGTTTGTGAGAGTGGGAGGTCTATGGGGCTTTAATATTAAGTGTCGAACATAAAGCTTCTACTGCCATGATTTTGGCCTTCCGCAGGGATTTGTTTTGGGGCTTCTACTCTCTGACATATCCATTAATGACTTCTGTAATGAATTTAATTATTCTAGGCATCTTCTTTTCGCTGACGACATCAAAACCTTACGTGACATTTAATCTTGTAACGACTGCAAACGATTTCAATCTGACGTTGATTCTATACAAGGTTCGTCCACTGCTGACGTCATGAAACTCAGTATTGGCAGAACCAGTGTAATTTATTTCTCAGGATAAAGCCAATAGCCTACGTCGATCTGCGACTGTAAACTTTGCCGGTCATCTGTAACACGTATTGACTCTTAAGGAATTTTAATTTATTCTTAATTTTGACTCATATTTTCACGGTGTTTTAAGTTATTGGGTTTTGTTCGCACTTTATAATTTTCTTTTTGTTCTTTTGAATGCCTGTACATCTTATATTTAACCTTAGATCCAATCTTGAATACGCCATGTCATTTGGAATTCTGTCACAAATATTCTAACGCTCTCGAGAATTTAAAACACAACACTTTATGCAAGGAGAGGTATTGCAATGAAGCACTTTCTCTCGTCCAAGTTTACCGTGGCTTCAAATACTGTCCTTCCCACCTGGAAGCTGTAGTTCTTCGAATATCCCTACTCGGTGTCACAGAGACTTTTGTTATGTTCAATTTGAACCCTGCAGGGACTTTGATATATTTGGAACAAAAATTATTTCACTTGGTCGCATTCTATACTGACTGTAGTAATGTATATTCAGCAGAAATTTTCCCTTGTGTATTAACTTTCTCTACAGCCGGGTAATTTATTGATGATCTGTTTGTTGCTATTTTGTTATGTTTAATATTGTGTTCATTCATCTCTTGTGCTGTTTTTATAATTGGCCTTCTGACTTTGATTCAGTACATTAATAATAAACAACAGAATTATTATTAATTTTATCTAGCCCATTTACTTGTAATTAACAGTTGAACTGAGGAAATTATTGTATTTAAATATTTCCCTTTGTCCATATTTTGGGTTTTTCATTTTGTAAGTTTTTTCTCGTTTTCATTGTTTACTGCTTTTATTTAGTATTAATATTTTATTTTATTTATTATATTACTTAGGCATGTTTGTTTTTGTATTTGTAATGTGCTGTTGTCGGTGCTTGGCTGTTATTGGCCATATTTGGCTGTTGTGAAGCCCTTAAATTAATTAAATTGAATTGAATTAAAGTGATTGAATTGAGGATGTCGCTGCCGTGGCTTGTGACGCTGGTTCTGCTGCTGCTCGTGACTCAGAGCCATGGCGCTAGGATCTTGGGCTTGTATCCCTTACCATCGAGAAGCCACCTCATCGTCCAAAATGCTCTGATGTTCGAGCTAGCCATTGTGTGAATCAAAACAGACGCTTCCAGTAGGCCTAAATTATTATGACGACTACCGTCATTTCCATAATGTTTTCCATCCAAAATTCTTGAGGTAAACAACATATCTTCGTGTGCTGATGGTTTTCACTGATTAAATATAGCAAACATTCTATTTTATAATTACGATAGTGACTGTGGAGGCTTAAATTAACTATACTTACTAAATTATATCAATAAATGATTATTTACCTTACAGAATGAATATAACAATTATAATAAAGTCTTTGATAATTTCTTGTAAAGAAAATACAATATTCCTAGGGTTTAAATTAACGAAGACAATTTACGCACAGCAGGATCATGTTTTTGACGTCGAATTTTTCTGATTTTTAATAAGTTGTTTAAGTATATATTTACTTGAATTTCAGAAAAAATTCTGCCAGCCTGAAGTCAGCCAGCCGTAAGTTTATGTCCACGTGGACACGGGTTAAATTTTGCTCCTTAAAAGGAGCTTGGGGGATGAAAGCTACGCAGATTGAGCTACAGGATTCAACCTTCAACAATCGGAGTTGTATTTGTAAATAATATCCACTAATTAAAATTGCATTCTTTGCAGTTTCATCAAATGTGTTCGACATGCAGTCAATTGGGCCCTTGAAAATGACATTCTTTATGTGGTTAATGGGTGAAGCGTTGTGCGACCACGTACTGCAAAATGACAACATCCAGAAACTGATCCATTCTAAAGATCTTCATTTCGATCTTGTGATCGTTGAAGTCTTTATTAACGAATGCGTCTTAGGATTCGCTCATAAATTTAACGCTCCCATTATACAAGTCTGCACATACGGAGGAGGAAATTTCATGGCTGACTGGGTCGGAAGTCCTAATCCTTACTCTTACGTCCCCGATGAGTTCCTTCATTACAAGGGGAAGATAAGATGAATTTCTGGGAAAGAATGTACAATACAGTCGTTGGTACACTGAGACACGTCGGAAGGCAGCTGATCCACGTGCCGAAACAAAATGCCGTGATGCAGAAATATTTCAACTATACAGACAAATTTCCACCCGTGTGGGAGCTGGAATACAGAACGTCCTTGGTCCTTCTCAACTCACACTTCAGTCTCAGCTACCCGAAGCCTCTCTCGCCAAACTACGTGCAGGTTGGCGGAATGCACGTGAAACCTCCGAAGAAGCTTCCACAGGTGAGAAACGTGAAGCCAATAATTCTTGTTCCCAGTTAAGTCAAAATATGATGGTCCTTTTTCAGTGCGTTATTTCGTGTACCGCAAAATGATAACATTTTAGGAGAATAATTCATCGAAAGATCACCGAAGAAAACGACCACGGATTCTTTGATGGTACAGCCCCGACTTAGGGAAGCCAGAGTCATTGCATGTGGCCTGCGTTGCCGGGGTCACGACCTCTTCGATTACGTAGCAAGAATGATAATTTGCTGAGGAATCAACCATGAATTTCGGCTATCTATAGATTAGAGGCTACTGATGTCACTTAACGAAAATTAAGATGGCATATGGGCCCATATTAAGAGAAATTATTTTGATGTTATTGTTCTAACTGATTCGTGGTATAAGCTACATTTTGGTACCGTTAAAACGTATGGGACAAATGTCAGTGTTAATATGTGCGAGGAAATTGTGTGACGATCAAAAACATGCAAGAATTATATGTAATTGGTCATGTGATTTTCAAATTAAATTAAGATCATAGACATTCTCAAACTAGTGAATTTCTTTTATGCCAGGAATTGCAGAAATATCTTGACGAAGCTCCACATGGAGTGATCTACTTCAGCATGGGCTCAAACCTGCAAAGCTCGGAAATGCCTGAATCAAAAAGAAAAGTTTTCCTTGAAGCGTTCTCCAAGTTTAAGCAACGGGTATTATGGAAATGGGAGACGGACTCGTTGCCAGGGCAACCAAAAAACGTAAGGCTCGGGAAATGGCTGCCTCAATCCGACATTCTGGGTGAGCGCTCGTATATCGGTAAACTCTGTACGTAAAAAAAGTAAATTGTCCCACTAACGCCATGTAGGCGCATTGGGGGAGTGGATGTATAGCTACTACTCTGTACGTAGTTAAGCAAATTTGTGAAGATAATGTAAATTCCATCAGATGTGATTAAGTAACTTCTGATTCCATTATGATATAAGTAACTCTGAAGATTATTTACTTTATTGTAGTATAAAAGTTTTCTTGTTATTAACGCAAAATACCACTTCAATATGGTCTGTTTACGTCAGAGAAACTAACAAAATTGTTTGGTAATAAGCGATGGACCCAAATATGCTGTTTGGATAGCCAGTCTTCTGGAGAAGAAAGAGTTGCATGCAATTTGTGTGCAGTATTATAACCAGATAGACAATACTCATATGCTGAGGTAGAAACGGTAAAGTCAGAGTATGCAAATTCCCATATAAAAGTTTTCTTGTTATTAACGCAAAATACCACTTCAGGATATTATCTGTTTACGTCAAAGAAACTAACATAATTGTTTGGTAATAAGCGAT